GGGCGGTCCGGCCCGTCGCTGGCGGCGAATGAATGAGCACTGATTCCCAGAATGTGGGGAAGGCAGGTGATTGGGTTCATGGGCACAGCCGGGATTTGACTTTTTGCACCACGTTCGTAGGCTTAACATGGTTTATACGGACATGTTCATGTTCATCGCATCGAGAGCTACAATTTGGTATGTATCATGACACAAATATCACAAGACCATAGATATTCAGCTATCGCTATGCGTTTCAATCTTTATAGTTCTAATTGGCCATTTATGTGTGCGTCACCCACGCTTACTGCAAAATGAATGCCAAAAATAGCCCTGCAGGGTCAAGTGTTATCCAACGAGTGGTGACATCATGCCTCTGTTTATTTTGAAGCATTTGCCGTTGTTCAAAAACCGGAATATTATAAGTCGGCACATCCGTGATTTTCTGCATGCGATGTGGCGCGGTGCACGATTTTTTGCGTGGAGCAAAATGTTCGAGTGGGTGACATTTTGCGAGCATGCTCTGCTGCATGCGAGTGTGAAAGCAGCTTTTAGTGGCGTCTTAGCTAAATAACATTTGTAGATAAAAGCCATGTGGAGAAGGATTGTGCATAAACAGGTCTGAAACAGGCCAGGTCTGAGAAAACGGGTTATCACAGATTGTTTGGCAGCGATTAGGCTTCGGTGGCACCTTCCCCTTACCTTGTTGCTGCAGAGATCAGTAACGACTGTGGCAGATAACATGAAAGAATTATGAAAAACCCCAAGCGCTTTTGCAAAGAGGCTTCTGACAATCATCCTGCCGAATGGTGCACGGACAAGGCAGCGCTGTTAATTTCTAATGTGTTTGGACGGCAAGTAAATACGACAAATTAAGACTATACCACAAATTAAAAGAAAGCATTTGTTCGACGGCGGCGACCGATGACATACATTCTCACTCTCTAGCTTCGCGACCATTTTTAAACGTGATTGTTTCAGCGTTATCTGCAGAGGAGCCTTTGCTGATGAATGGCTTCTGGTTTCAAACTCATGTTTAATGTCTGGCCCTGAATCTAAAATGATGCACCGGCACTGTTTTAAAGCGACAAATAGCTCTAAAGTGGCCGACACTTCGAGCCTCGGTTAATCATTCCTTTTCCGTTTCTTTGCAGCATGCCGCACAGGAAGTATACATAAATACTTTTGACACGTCCATGTCGCACATAGGATCACAAAATGTCGGATGACTTCACAGTTCCATGCATTATTCCTCACTCTGCCCATGCGCGGGAAGAGTGAGGACGAGGACGGGAAAACGATGCGCCCCTCCCCAAAGTTTCTGAGGAAATCTATCTGGTAGATGCATCGCGCATCTACGCATGTCGCACATGTTGAGGCATCCGATGAATATTTACTGGGTGCGTTTCACATCTGAAAGGTTTCTCTATTACTATGGCTTCTGAAAAGAAAAGTTGTGTGTAAATACTTTATAGGAAATATGCATGTAACTTTGGTTACTACACATAACCAAAACTTTTATCAGTACATATAACTAAAAACTTCGACCGCTTATTCCCGGATTTCGTCGTTGCAACAATCCATGCCCGTTTTCCAGACTGACGCCCAGTGGGGATTAGCTTAACGGTCTCGTTTTGCTGTCGAAGGGCTTCTGGAGCATTAAGAACTTGCATGTCCGCTCGAGCTTGGTGAAAAGCACGTAAATACCTAGTAAAACGACGCAACGATGTAACGACGCCTAAAGAATTATTGCATGCTTGTTAACTGTGATGGCACGTTAGTCCAGCTGTATTCCTCCGGCCAACGGCTTGGGCACTGGTTTCTAAAGGATCACGGGGCATAGGTCAAATAATAAAAGCCCAGTGATGGTGTGGCTGTGGTCCTCCTCTTCCATCTCCGTTTATTAGTTTGGCGTGCTCTGGCATATTTTGAAGCCTACCGCTTGGTGCTGTCCTTAAACGACCCAGGCGCAGTGACTCCAAAATGACCTTCCCAACAAACTCGCCGAGTATTCAATGGAAATTATCCACAAATTGTGTTCTGAAAAACGCCGGCTGACGGCTTACGAGAGTTAAAATGTGTGAAATTGTTCTCTTTCTGTACTGAAGCGCTTGTGGCAATTATTTAAATTTACTCAACTTACGTGTGGTCTACTTCCGTTTAGGGTCGCCGCTGCATGCGGATAGATTGGACCAGGAACGTGTACACTTTCTTCGGGCTTTATTTCCATAGTAATCTGCCATTAGATTCACACTTAGTTTTCGAGACAAATTTTTTCCTTAACCACCTTGCGCACCGCGCAAACATCGCCTCTATTGTGATGTAAAGAGTGAAACATTTTTTGCGGTGGGCTCCAGTAATGATTTCGAAAAAATATCCTGATGTATATGTTGCTGCTTTTATGGCATGCTGGCGACATTGGCTTATCGTGATATACCAGTGTATTCAGACATTTCATGATGCAAAGTTAGTATTTATGTAATGTGGCCTGAAATGGGCTACACACTGACGCTATTTTCAAGGTGCAAATCGTAACCGTTCGGGCCAGAGTAAACTGCATTTGCGAACGGATCTCAAAATGGCGCATGCGCCATGTGCTGTCTTCCGCAGGGCGTCAAACAGACCAGCACAGCGGCCGCCAGTTCTGATGGTCCCGTTGCATGGTTAGATACGTTGGATTGAGCTCGGCAGGCTGGGTTTGCCAAGCCACCTGACAGTCTCCTCCGAACAACACAGGCAATGCCATAGCAACAGACCATTTTGTCAACGGTTGCATTGTTTGCGGCTGAGGTCGGATTTTATTTAATCCAGACTCTCCCGTGATGTGCACGAAGCGGTCGCCGTTGCTGATTCTCTTTTATAATTTCCTTCCTATACTCTATGTGGTCCTGTATGTATATATATATATATATATATATATATATATATCATATATAATGTATCACAAATGACACGATTGCGAGCGAAGCCGAAGACCGTGAGGGTCCGGCATGGACGGTGAGGCATTTTTCAACTTAAGCCCAGGTCAACCGTCATGCCTCCTAGAGGTCAATGTTCTCGCAGCCACCAGTCACAGGCTGATACAATTTTCATATCTAGCCGTGGCCAATCACACACTTGCACACGATGACTATATGAAAGTCACGTTCCGTATATATATATATATATATATATATATATATATATATATATATATATATATACAGCGCGCAACACACCAGGCTGCGGCTGCCCACGCTATACATAAACAAAAACTGTGATTCATGAGAACGCGAAGCGTCTAGGAAATTGAATGCACGTTTGTACATGCTGCTTGGCCAGGCATAATTGTTCTGCTATATTCCAATGTGAGCAAAAAGGGTGTCACCATTCGTTAAGTTTGCCAGCTGCGAACAGGCTGCAAAACTCGCTGGCTGCAACCCACTTTGCACCCCAATGATTCGGCGAGACGGAACAAGCAGCGTGTGGCGAAGGAGGCAACAGACAGGTATACTCCCAACAAGTGTGAATGAATACCCGCTGCTGGTTATGATACAAACCCTCGGGCTAACAGCCGTGAAGCCACCGGTTTGGGGCATTTTTAGAGACTGATGCTAGATGTGCATGAACATGAACATGAACAAAGGAATGCAGAAGCATGCAGAACAATGCAGGACAAAAGCTGACAGCTCAGTGACAGTTGACAGTTCGACGTCAGCTCCGATCGCGGTCAGCACAGCTTCAATACTGGATGTGGTGGGTCGCTAGCCCCGACCCACCAAAGCGGGCTGTCCCCAGTCCGGAAGGCTCTGACCGACCTGGTGGGCTCTGACCCACCCGACGGGCTCCAATCCAGCCCGGGGGGGGGGGGGGGCTCTGATCCATACGGCGGGCTCCAACCCAGCCCGGTGGGCTCCGGCCGACCGTGGCGGGCTCCAACCCAGCCCGGGGGGGCTCTGACCCATCCGGCGGGCTCCAACCCAGCCCGGTGGGCTCCGGCCGACCGTGGCGGGCTCCGATCCAGCCCGGGAGGCTCTGTCCCACCCACCGCAGCGAGCTGCAGCCCAGACCGGCGGACTCTGATCCAGCGCGGGCGGCTCGACGCGCTCCCGTCCGCGGACGCGTGGGCGGGGTCGGTATGGCAGGGCGAGTTCCGTCGTGGGCTGAGGTAGCCGGGCTGCCTTTGTACCGGCCTGTCGCGATCGGGAAACGGCGGGACCTGGCAGCTGGCTGTGGCGACATCGGCATGGCTCAGGCCGCTCCCTCACTGCACGAGGAGGGTGAAGCCAGCTCGACGGGTCTCCGGCACGGGCGAACGCAGGAGCTCTGTGGAGCGATGTACGTGGCATGGATAACGGGTACCTCCTGAGAAATCACGTCATGTCGTTCAAAATGTTTAGAAATTATGACCTGCATCACCTCTTTTGCTGTAAAACCCCGCAAAAGAAAGCTCTTCTAGTGAGATCGCGGGACTTACTACCTTGTGCGGAGAAGATTGGGGGGGGGGGGGGGGGACATGTAATGGATTGATCATGGAAGCCGCCACACTCAACACTTTTCAATAGCTATAACATCTGTAAATCCCATCACTGTTTGAGGCGTGTGAGGTATGTGTTAGCGACACATTGATTATGACTAATGACAGATGATCTACGGCGATGATCGGACACGCGTGTTTCATTGGGCCCTACCATGATGCCGCGGCAGCCCACGCTGAGTGCCGCTATCGGTCCTCTCCATCCCAGTAGTGGTGTGCTCGGCTCGGTACGATCCGGCCGACTCAGCCTCGTGTCAACTCATCGAGCTGGCTGAAGTGTGTTTATTCCGCCGGACTACTGCTATCTGGACCAACACGCTCTGTTCTGGCCCGAGTTCTGCTCCCACTCACGGAATGCTGCTGGGCGACTGAGACGGTTCCAGTAACAACAGCTCAGCACATCTACTAACCGCTGCAACGAGCTCAAGACATTCCCCGCGTGTCATCAGTATACCTGGACAGCACAGTCCCCGTCTCACTCGCTACCTTCCCCGCGTGTCGTCAGTATACCTGGACAACCGCTTCACGCTGGCGGTGGTGGAATACCTGCCCGGCAAGAGCACCAAGGACACGCCAGCCACGGCCGACGGCTACGGCGACCGCGAGGCCGACCGCTTTGTCACGCAGAAGCTGGACCTCAACAGCCTGCAGCGCTCGCCCAACTGGATGGACCCGCCGACGGTGAGAGCGTGGCTGGAGGGGACCCGTGCCTCAGGCCGGCCGGTCCGGAGGTCTGCTTGCGGTGGCACGCGGCTGGAGGGGACCCGTGCCTCAGGCCGGCCGGTCCGGAGGTCTGCTCACGTTGGCACGCGGCTGCGACGCTGGACCGGTCGGACCGCCCATTGTCCTGTTATTCCCGTCTGCTTAGCAATCGGCAAGGGTCGAGGTGGTCGGGAAGGAGGCCGATCAAGACGGAACCAGGCTGGACGTGTGGAGTGGTAGTAATCCCACTTACATAAGCGTGCTGACGTAGATTGCAGGCGAGAGTGGTGACGTGGGTTGCGTTATATCCAGCCGCGCACGTCAGGTACGATCACGATGATCGGTGTTGGATCGGCGTTTCAATATTTGTTTTCTTAACGCGCCTTTTATGCTGAAGATCATCCGATGTAAACTGATCCGCTTTAGCTAGTTAATGTCAATAGAACAGGCAAGAATTCTTCCAAACAACGCAATATTACAGACAGCGACGTAGCCAAGTGGCTTTTGGGACCATAGCCCCCTCCTCTCTCCCCCCCCCCCCCGCTCCGAGAGGTGGTGGGGCTCTGAAGCGACAGGCACAAGTATTTTTTTACTGTAAAACGCTCAAAGAGCTCCTAAAATATAAAACTGGTTCTCGACTCATTCGAATGGAATCCCGCGTCTACAGAGGTCGTTGGAATATCAAAACAGGGCCCTGTAGCGTTGGGCCGGGGCCTCTCGACTGAAATGGTCCCCTATGCTCCGATTTCGACCCCCTTCTGGAGGAAATCCTAGCAACGCCACTGAATTCAGAAACACATTGAAAACAAGCAACGTTGAACACCGATCAATTCGCTGTGCTAAAGAGAAGACGGATTCGTTTCAACAGGACAAAGTAGGCATAGATAGCATGGGAGTAAGGTACTGGCTCATTAAGGCCTTTACGCTAATTACAATGACAAAAGTGACACTGATATGTATCCAGCATATTTGCACCCCGGGTATATGGAACATGAGCCTACACTGATCACCGCAAGTGATGCTTTGGTTTGTTGCTTTTTGAAACAAGACGTTTTTTTTTGCTTGCCATTGCCATTGATCTCGTGGGAGGTCTTCGTACATGAAATATGGTAAATACATATATATATATATATATATATATATATATATATATATATATATATATATATACATGATGAAATATGTACATGTTTTATAGTAAATATACGTACATGAAATATAACATAGACACACACACACATTTATATATATATATATATATATATATATATATAATATATATATATATATATGTGTGTGTGTGTGTGTGTGTGTGGGTGGGTGTGTGGGTGTGGGTGGGTGTGTGGGGGTGTGGGTGTGGGTGTGTGTGTGTGTGTGTGTGGGTGTGGGTGTGTGGGTGGTGGGTGTGGGTGGGTGGGGTGTGGGGTGGGTGTGGGTGTGGGTGTGTGGGTGTGGGTGTGGGTGTGGGTGTGTGTGGGTGTGTGGGTGGGTGTGGGTGTGGGTGGGTGTGGGTGTGGGTGTGTATTCTTATTTCATCAGATATGATGAAATAAGTGCACTTTTAGTTATTGGTGTACTTTTAAGTGGAAAAGGCTGCTCCGGGCCAATAAGTTTCTGCTTAATAACTGTACTCCTCAGAACGTGATTGCTTCATTACATCTTACCTGCCGTCAATTGACGACCGTTTTATGTGAAAATAATGCCCACGAAAGCCAGATATGACCTACTGGGCAATTATACTATTCTTGGCATTGATCGTCGCACGGCCAATGGAAGTGACAGAATTGAATGACGTTATTACGTCGTCATGGATGCCTGGGTGAACTTGGAAGAGTTTCCATGAAATAAGTCTACACATCTTCACGGGCATGTACTCAGAAGCTAGAAGCGCTTACGACTTGAGAAGGGTAGCGCCGTAATAGCACCGAATAGCCTTCAAGCTGGCTGTTTCAGTTCATACCCCAAACAAATGTGGAACACTCCCTTCAGTTTGATGCTATACTAAACAGCCGTACTTATGATAACGTTTTACCGCCAACGGAACAATGCATCATCTCTTCCCCACGCGAAGTCCGTTGCGTCCAGTGTGCTGTAACCGCGCCATCTCTGCTACAGACGATCCACCCGCACTACGACAACCAGGCGGCGCTGCTGGTGCGTCTGTATTCGCTGCCGCTGGAGTACAAGCTCGGCGGCCGTCTGGTGCCCAGAGACGGCGCCGAGTTCAGCCTGTCCCTGGACCAGCCGTCGGCCTGGACCGTGCTCCAGCTGTTCGAGAAGTGAGTGGCCTCCGCAGGGCGATGGCGTCGGACGGGGGAGGGGGGGGGGGGGGGGCAGATGCGGATCTCCCGCTGGAGGGCGTTCGGTGGCGTTAGTTTTCGCGCTCTTGGACGGCCGGGACGCTCGACTCAGTACTAGTGGCGCGCGGTCATTGTGCGAGGCTGCTTTACTTTTGGTTCCGTTCTACCGGCGTTGTGGTCCACGCTTGATGTAGATGCAACACTGTACAGTGCACTGCACGTGACGTGCAGTGCCAGTCCGCTTGCGTTTAAAGGAAATCTACAGCTGAGCGTCTTATAGACAATCTGTAGATTCGGTGTGAGCCGATTCTGCCGATATTAAACCTAATCCGTAGTTAAGGCATGAGCTAACAAAGAGCCGAGAGCTGTACTGAATCCAGGGAAGTGTTAAGACTGGTATATTCTCTTCGTTACTGTTCTATTTCAAGGTTATTGTCAAAGCCGCACTTGAGGAAAGCATTGATTTCACGGCAGGTGGCAGCACCATTGTATGTAGGTGACAGCCCTCCGATCTCCTCTTTGCAGAAAATCGGTGTATTGTGGCACGCACGCGGTGCCTCTCCTGAAGCCCCCAGTCGACAGCAGCTTCACAGGACTAGCGCAGCGGGCTGGAGTGGTCGCCCAAGCTCTTCACCATGGCCAACACAAAGGGAATCATCAAGCCGCATGTAAGCAGTGAGCGGCGCCAGTGCCGTTCCGTGTGTCGTGTGTGTGCATAATGCCTGCCGCTGTGTGCTGGCCTTCTGGTTGGCGTAAGATTGCTCTGGAAACACCTGAGATTGACATGAATTCATGTTTGGTGTTATCATTGCCTCCTAGAGCACCCATTTGCTGTCCAGCCGTGGTGAGTACTGGCGCCCGTGCCTGCAGATGGCGCTGGCAGTGTGTCTAACCGGCAGATGGCGACACGCTCGAATTTGATGTGATTAGTTCGGTTTTGTGGAGGACACCTCATGTGTAATGTTACGAGGGTGTGAATGCTTTGTTGCGTACCAATATTTGATGTTTGAAGCTTTTCAAGTGGTTATTTTCAGCAAATCCCGCTCATATAGTGATGACGCGTCTTTCGTGTGGCCACGACGAGCGAAGGACGTGTGTCACGCGCAAGTGGGCCGCAAATAATGTTTCTTCCGTGCGCAGCAGTTCCGTGGATTTCCTGAAAAGGTCATGGATAACTGGTAACGGAACAAATCGAATCTGTTTGGCCTTATGGTTCTGAAAAGCTGTCACTCAAAAATAATAATGTCATGGCATTAGTTATGGTTCTCAAATCCCAGCGCATTTCATGCATCGGATGTAGTATAAAGTCAAGCTATTTTGTGAACTCTCTTTACCTTGTTTGATGAACACTCTGATATGAAAAACACAGTGCGTGCTTATGAGCACTGAAGCTTTAGCGTCACATCTCTACTCTGGACTCGGACCCACCTTCGATGCTTCGATTCACCCGACGACCAGAAATCAAGTTTTTGCACACCAATTGCTAATGGGCTGCGCTGCGTTTGCTCGAAGCACACGCGCGTTCTTGCCGTCTTGCTCACAGAGAGCAGATCGAGCTGTCGGCGTGGTCTCATCGCCTGTCAAAGATGCGCTCGTCACATCCCAGCATTTCGAGGCCACTGGCCAGCCCAGAGGTCACAACCGGCCATGAATGTTCACCACCGTCTGCCCCGTGACCCGGCAGGACATGGCCAGCCTGGAGGTCACCATCTGGGACGGCACGTTCACCAGTGAGGAGTGTCCGCCCATCAAACGGTTCGACGGCGCCCTGTCGGCTATCAGCCGCTGGAGAAGTACGCTAAGCCCAAAGTGCAGAAGGCCGGCCCCCCAGTCAGCGCGGTGGGTACCCTCTGCCGCTGAGTGGAATGTGGCCCGCTCAGTGGAAGTGCCGAAACCGATTCTCAGAGCACGGAAGACCAGCGGTGACACGTGCGGGGTGCCGCACGCACTGCGAGACGTTGTGTTTCAGCGCGCGCGCGGCGTCTGGACTCCCCGGCAGTGAGTACAGTGAGGAGTTCCGCACACTCTGCCGAGGCTCCGCCGCTGGGCGGACTGTTCGCGTGATCCGGCACGGCGCGACTGAGTGTCCGCCCGTGACCAGGCTGAGGTCGCCAGCCGCGTCACGTCCCGGCGCGTGCCAGCCGTCGGTGGCGGTCAGGGCCGCGTCACGGGCGTGACCAGCCGGGGACGTCGCCACGACGACGGTCCGGGCACGTCGGAAGCGGGCGAGGAGCAGCCTCGGTATCTGAAGCGATTCAACGTTTTCCTTAAGTGTTTCGTGGAAAGAGACGAGGCAAAAATCGCGTTCGCCCGCCTCCTCGTCAGGGCGTGTTGAATTACTGTTCCAGCGGTGAGCACCGTCCACAGATGGATGAACCCGTTGTGATTCCAGCTGGGACGGCTGTGATACCGTGCGCCACCGCCGGAGTCCGCTGCGATCCCAGTTGAGATGGCTGTGTTACCGTGCACCACCGCCGGAGTCCGCTGTGATCCCAGCTGGGATGGCTGTGTTACCGTGCGCCATCACCGGAGTTCCCTGTGATCCCAGCTGGGATGGCTGTGTTACCCGTGTGCCACCACCGGAGTCCGCTGCGATCCCAGCTGGGATGGCTGTGTTACCCGTGCGCCACCACCGGAGTCCGCTGTGATCCCAGCTGAGATGGCTGTGCTACCGTGCGCCACCACCGGAGTTCGCTGCGATCCCAGCTGAGATGGCCGTGTTACCGTGCGCCACCACCGGAGTCCGCCTGCGATCTCAGCTGAGATGGCCGTGTTACGTGCGCCACCACCGGAGTCCGCTGCGATCCCAGCTGAGATGGCCGTGTTACCGTGCGCCACCACCGGAAGTCCGCTGCGATCCCAGCTGAGATGGCCGTGTTACCGTGCGCCACCACCGGAGTTCGCTGTGATCCCAGCTGGGATGGCTGTGTTACCCTGCGCCACTGCCGGAGTTTCGGGCTGGGACGCTGAACTCGGCTGGACGCGGGCCTGTAGTGTCATAGCTGGCCGGCGCCAGTGTCGCCGTGATGCCTTCGCCACATCAGGATGGCATGCGAGCCCCGTGCGCGGGGCCCGTGGGGCTCGTGACTTCCGTCCTGTAATGAGATCACGTGTGAAGCGCAGGCTGGAGCTCGTGATAGCCACGTGAGGAGAGAGCCCGTGCGCGCCGTCCACGGTGTCCTTGTGTCCTTGGGTGAAAGGACGAGTTGCGTGTGCGCAGCAGACGGTTGTCGGTGGACTTGTGCGGATGGCGGTGTGTCATGCGACCAAACCCACCAACATATCGAACCTCGGCCCCTCGCGCCACTGCTGAACGGGGGGGGGTGGGGTCTGAGCTCTGAGTGGCCTGGCTGCTAGAGCCGAGTCATTTATCTCGCTGACGAATGGCGAAGTGTAAACTTGCCACTTGGGCCCATAAAAGCAGTCCGGGTTTGATATCGCTGTGTTGTTTATTGAGATAGCCCAGCAACTGGGTCGCTCTTGACAAGGCTGCCGTGAATCACTTCTAGCATGAACATTACGTCGATGGCTGGGAAAATATTAACGGTGAAACACCCCATATTTCCTGCCGTGCGGCTAAGTCGGCATCATAATCCGGCGACTGATTGACATGGCCACTGCGTTAACTCGTCACCAGGACATGGGCGAGATGTGAATATGATAGCACATTTTCGCTCTTAAGCGCTGTGTGAGACAACGTCCGACAGAGCTCTATGTTGAACACGCCTGTTCTTGACCAGGAACAAGCTGAATTCAGCCAATAGCATGCATTGATTTATTAACCAGATTACTCGGCCCAGTCGAAGCAAAAAAGGTTGCAGTGACTGCTATGCAACTACAACCTCAGACTGCACCCATCGTGATGGGGTTGCAGCACCCCTCCGCACTGCGTCGATCTGCGATGCCATGTGACACATCGTCGCTCGTTGCTCACGCATGGCGTGGCAGGGTGCTGTACCCCGCATCATTGACCATGTCGCGTTGCATCCGTCCCACCACGTGTCCACCGCTCCCAGTGTCCCCATATCCGGGCTGCGCGCCGGCCTGAGCCTGGTCTGATGTCCCGCATGCTGGTGTTCGAGAACATGACGGAACGAGCAGAAGCAGGCGGGCATCGCCGGGCCCGACTATGACGTCGAGAAGCAGGCGTTCGAGGCGAGCGCCGTCAGAAAGTTTAACACGCTCCTGGTGAGCCCGCTGCCGCTGCCGCTGGCCCTGATGTTGGCTACGTTCCCCCCTGCCAGGAGACGCACGATCTGAAGCCATGGTGTCGTTTTAGACCGGCCGTCCACGCTATGCTTAGACTCGCTTCGCTCTGGTGAGCGTGGCTCTTTGCCTGTTGCAACAACCAGCCCTTCCTGCACAGTATTTATGGTGTTGTATTGGTTTCGGTAACGCGGCGCGACGGTTCTAAGATGCCTTGGTGAATCTCAGCGCGCCCCGATTCCCGGGGTCAGTGATCTCACCGTTTGTTTCCGCAGTCGTCCTCCATGTGTCATCGGGTGTCTGTGCTCCGACTGACTCGGAGTAGTATACCGGCGTCCCCAGACCCCGTGACCCCCCCCCCCCCCACCTTTCCGATTGATGCATCATGACAGCCCCCGGCTGTGGCGCGTGTGGGCTCCACGTGCGGGGTCGTCTGCAACCTATCGGAAATGTTTGCCGGCGAGGTCCCCGATGTTTATCGCGCATGAATGCGGTTGCAAATAACAGGGCGGGGGCCGTTGACTTCAGGGGGATGCGTCACCGCTGTGGGTTGCGGCTCAGCTGCGTTGGGATGGGGGGGGGGGTTCGTTGCATTGGATCGACTTTGCGCCGATTGGTGCTATCAGTGAGAGCACTCATCTTTGATAGCATTGGGTCACGCGGTATCTGTAGCGTATTAGCTTAGGCGGAAAGGGCTTAAGGGCCTCACCATGCGAATCATAGCCCCGCTCTAGCCGGCACCGCAGGTTGTGTGAACTGCGGTGGCCCCCACTGCCGGTGCCAGTGCAGGATTCCCTTTATATCTGACACCAGGTGGCAAATCACTGCACGCATTTTTCTTAAGAGGTATTTCTCCACGGAATGCGCGTTGGTATGTAAGTAAACTGATTCGCTGGTTGACCGTCTGGGTTTTCCCGCCATTTCCCAACCGGTCGCCTCCTCCACCAC